ATATTTTTTTCATATATATATATATATATATATATTTTTTTAAATATTTCTTTATTGATTTCAGAGAGGAAGGGAGAGGGAGAAACATCAGTGATGAGAGAGAATTATTGATCGGCTGCCTCCTGCACGCCCCCTACTAGGGATCGAGGCCGCAACCTGGGCATGTGCTCTTGGTTAGAATTGAACTGGGACCCTTCCGACCACAAGCCGACACTCTATCCACTGAGCCAAACTGGCTAGGGCCCCATGGTTATTTATTTATTTATTTTAAAATATACATTTTTAAAAATTGATTTAAGAGAGGAAGGGAGAGGGAGAGAGGGATAGAAACATCAAAGATGGAGAGAGAATTATTGTTCAGCTGCCTCCTGCACGCCCCCTACTGGGGATTGAGCCTGCAACCCAGGCATGTGCCCTTAAGTGGAATCAAACCTGTGACCCTTCAGTTCTCAGGCCAGCGCTCTATCCACTGAGCCAAACCATCTAGGGCTTCTCCCATGGTTTTTAAAAACCATGTCCTTTATATTATCTATCTTCCTCACTATATTGTTTGCTCCTTGGGGACAGAAGGTATGTGTTGTGTTTTTGGTTGCTAAACCTAGTACCTTCCTTATACATACTCCATACTCAATAATTGTTGGTGGAGAAATGTGAACTAGGTAGACACAGAAAGGTCATAGACGCCTTAGCATTGTTTTTCAACATATTAAACCCAGGCTCTTTGATAACATGAAAAAAATCTTCTGTCCTCCTTTTAGGTCACTTTGAGGTTTCAACATATAGGGTGTCCCAAAATTCACGCAAGAAGTAATTTTGATAGAAAACACAGGTTTAGAATTAAAAATTGTAAATTTTTTATTGATTCATAAAGTATACAGTATAGGGCAGTGATGGCGAACCTTTTGAGCTCGGCACGTCAGCATTTTGAAAAACCCTAACTTAACTCTGGAGCCGTGTCACATATAGAAATTTATTGATATTTGCAACCATAGTAAAACAAAGACTTATATTTTTGATATTTATTTTATATAGTTAAATGCCATTTAACAAAGAAAAATCAACCAAAAAAATGAGTTCGCGTGTCAGAGGTTCGCCATCACTGGTATAGGGTTATGTATGGAATAGCATATCGGGTAAATGGCCTCCCCGGCTTTGCTGGCACATACGCACTCTTTTGTTGAAATTTTCCATGACCGTTTTTGCATAAATGTGGCTGAATTTCGTTGAGGCTCATTTTCATCTTGATGGCTTGGTTAATCGACAAGATTGTCGAATTTGCGGTTCAGAAAATCCATGAGTGATTGTTGAGAAACAAATGCATCCACAACGTGTCACTGTTTGGTGCGGATTTTGGGCTGGAGGCATCATCGGACCATTCTTCGAAAATGCGGCTGCTCAGGCAATAACAAAAGAGTGCGTATGTGCCAGCAAAGCTGTGGAGGCCATTTACCCGATATGCTATTCCATACATAACCCTATACTGTATACTTTCTGAATCAATACAAAATTTAGAGTTTTTAATTATAAACCTGTGTTTTCTATCAAAATTATTTCTTGAGTGAATTTTGGGACACCCTTTACATGTGACTAAAAATAAAACTGTTAGAATGTTTCTGGTTTTAACTGCATTATTCTCCTTTGCCCCATCCCTCCAGAGAAATTTAAGGGTCACTGATTGGGAGTGGGAGCTGGGAGTCTGGGTTGCATTCTGTCACTGAGGGGATTGGACAGCGAGTTTCCTTTGGTTTGGCTTGTGCCTGACATTTCCCCACTCCTGCAACTTTGTTTGTGCAGGAAAGATCCACACCCCGATGGAATATAAAGGGGATCTAGCCTCCTATGATATGCGACTGAGGTAAGTGGTGGGAGCAATGGGTCAGAGGGATTCTAGGGCACCAGGCACAGTGTTGATGGCTCTGTCCCACCCCCAGGCGTAAGTTGGACTTGTTTGCCAATGTAGTCCATGTGAAGTCACTTTCTGGGTACAAGACTCGACACAACAATCTAGATCTGGTGATCATTCGAGAGCAGACAGAAGGGGAGTACAGCTCTCTGGAACATGAGGTGAAGTCCTAGAAATTGGGGAGGGCAGAGGTGAAGGTGGGAGAGAGGCATAGCTCCTTCTTCCTTTCTTTCCAGTACCACTCAGCTATTTCTCTCTTCCTACTCAGAGTGCAAAGGGCGTGATTGAGTGCTTGAAGATTATCACGCGAACCAAATCTCAACGGATTGCAAAATTCGCTTTTGACTATGCCACTAAGAAGGGGCGGAACAAGGTTACGGCTGTCCACAAGGCCAACATCATGTGAGGGACATGGCTTTGCGTGGGGTAGGTTCCTGGGAAGGTAGTCCCCTGCACTCTCTTGCTGAATCTGTTCCCTTTGGCCCATGGACAGGAAACTTGGGGATGGGTTGTTTCTGCAGTGCTGTGAGGAAATTGCTGAACTGTACCCCAAAATCAAGTTTGATACAATGATCATAGACAACTGTTGCATGCAGGTAAGGCCCTCCTTGTATGTGCACTCCCTCAGTGCTGAGGGAGATCAGGGAGTGGAATTTACTTCTCTTCTCCATGCCCATATTTCTCCCTGCCAGCTGGTGCAGAATCCTTACCAGTTTGATGTGCTGGTGATGCCCAATCTCTATGGGAACATTATTGACAATCTGGCTGCTGGCCTGGTTGGGGGAGCTGGTGTGGTACCTGGTGAGAGCTACAGTGCAGAGTATGCAGTCTTTGAGATGGTGAGTGAGGTCACCTCCTCTAGTTCTGTGTGCCCTTCTTCTGACCTCAGGTTCCACCTGATAGTTTCATGCCATGCCTCCTCTCTGTACCTGGCCTAACCTCTCTTTTCCTTGATCTTAGTTTCTGCATAATGTCTGCTCCCAGTGACTCTGGCCTGCCCTTCTTTTCACAGGGTGCCCGGCACCCATTTGCCCAGGCAGTGGGTAGAAATATAGCCAACCCCACAGCCATGCTTCTGTCAGCTTCCAACATGCTGCGACACCTCAAGTAGGTTGTGGTGGGCTGGAGGAGGCCAGGTGTTGAGAGGGAGCACAGGTGGGGAAATTAGGGCCTGATGAAGGGGGAAATCTCAGTTTCTTCCTCTCTACATTGACAGTCTGGAATATCACTCCAACATGATTGCAGATGCAGTGAAGAAGGTGATCAAGGTTGGCAAGGTGAGTTTAGAAAGGCTGTGGGGTTCAAGGCCTCAGAACTACTCTCTGGGTAACCTGAATTGGGGTCTCCTTTCCCTATAGGTCCCCAGACCATCTGCTGTCTGATCTTGCCCATCCCTCTCAGGGCTGCTCTTCACCTCTCTCCTCTTGGCTGTTTCATCCTCTAGATCAGTGGTCACCAACCGGTATCTGCGGACCACTGGTGGTCCGTGAGGTCCGAAAGGTTGGTGACTGCTGCTCTAGATCTCTTTTGCCTTTTAGTTCCCATCTGCTATTCCCTTTCCTGCTCCATCCATTTGCTCTTTTATGGACATCTTTTATTTTTTAATCCTCACCCGAGGACATGCTGAGAAAGATCGATTGCCCTCCTTACGTGCCCCAACTGGGGATCAAATCTGCAACCCAGGTATGTGCCCTGATTGGGACTCAAACCGGCAACCTTTTGGTGCACAGGACAATGGTCCATCAACTGAGCCACTTTGGCCAGGCTTATTGGGCATCTTAATGCTGAATTTGGGAGAGCATGGGGATGGAGGAGCCGAGGAAGGTAGCAGGCAGGATGAGGCAAGGGTGTCAGTCACCTTCTCCACCCTGGAAGCCCATCCTCCTTTGCATCCCCCTGCCATTTCCTTCCTTCTACTTGTCTCCAAGGCATCTCATCCTGTCTTCAATCTACATTTCCTATCTTCCCTCCTGCTCAGCTTCCCATCCATTCTGTCCAGGTTGCAGTTGATCGCTCTAGTAGGGACTCTGGCCCTCAGAAGACCTGAGTGGACAAGTCCATGTTCTTCAAACCTAGCAACCTTCCTGCATCTGCTGCATCTTCTTTCTGGCTGTTATCCCATCTTGGACTCCCATTTCATCAGTGCCCTACCCTCCTTCATGGGCTCTCTTCTCTTCTTTCCCACGGCTATTGCCGGTGGTGGCTGTAGGTGCGGACACGAGACATGGGCGGCTACAGCACCACAACCGACTTCATCCAGTCTGTCATCGGCCACCTGCACCCCTATGGGGGCTAGAGCCCCCTTATTCCCTTCAACCTCACGAGGACCATACCACCCACATCTCCCTTCAGTGCAGTGGACCAGAGAAGAGCCCTTAAACCATAATCACCTGGGCAGAGCCTAGGTTGTCCTGGGGCTGGCTTCCTTAGGGAAACCTATAATGGGGGGAGGGTAGGGATGGGCCCAGGTCACAGGGGTGATGACGATTCTCCCCCACAGGTTCGAACTCCTGACATGGGTGGCTATGCCACCTGCCGAGACTTCACTGAGGCTGTCATTGATGCCCTGCCCCAAGCACAACCATATAAAGGTGTCAAATAAAACATAAAATTATAAATCAACTCTTGTGAATTTTCTTTTATTGGGACATAGGGGGTAGGTAACTTGGTGGTTATACCCCACCAGGGTACTGTCCATTCTAATCTTCCTGGGCTAGCTTTTGGAGCTTTTTCTTTTTCTTGGAGCTCTTGTTACTAACAGCCTCTTCAGGTCCACTGCTGAGAGGTTCCTCCTTCAAAGAGAGTTTCCTCTTTTTCTTGGGAACACTCCTGTTTGTTGCCTCTTCAGGTTCACTAACTGGTTCCTGTTTGGTTAAAGATTTCTTCCTCTTAGGAAGATTTCCATTGTTAGCTGTCTCAAGATCATTATTAACAAACTCCTCCTTGGAAAAAGATTTCCTTTTCTTGGGTTTGGGTAAAGAAACGGGTGGGTCTTCTGTTCCATTCTCCTGAGGAGTCTCCTGGAGCTTTTGCTTTTTCTTCTTTTTGGGTTTTTCATTTGTCTCCTAAAGGGGGAAATGGGCATGAAACTGTCACTCACTGTATCAACACTCCCAGCCCCCACCCCATTAGAGTTCCAGCAATTAAGTAGGGCAGAAAAACTGGTGGAAATGCTGTAAAGTTGTCCAATGTTTCTGGGGATGGTTTTTATATGGGTAGAATTCTGGAAATCCGCCCCAAAGGTGACTCCCACTTAAAGGTGGGGAGAGATGTAATACTTAAGCCCATAAGAGAAAACCCCATCATGTTGGTCACAATAAAACCATCATGCCTAGTTCCAGAGGGGACCCTGAAATACTGTTTGACAAACTGGGCGCTATGAAAATCCCAGGGAAGACACACAGCCGAGAATCAAGAACAAACAGCAGGAATTCACACTACCCCCAGTTGAGGACTCCTGGCAGGCAGCCGAGGACAGAACACACTTGCCCAGGGAACCAGTGTGCTACAACCAGCTCTCTGGGCTCTTGAACAAGTTCTCTCAGCACCTATCTCCTTCCTATAGAATCAAGAGGCAGTTTTAGAGGTTTCAAGTCCTTGTTTCAGTCCAAAGGCCTGGACTCAAGACTATGACTTTGAGGTCACATCCTTTGTTCTACTGTTGAAAATCCTACAACCCAGAATTTTCACTCAGGATCTGCCTACTGACCTCACACTCCTCTGGTGTACTGCTGCTGTTTTCTGGAGATGCAAGGGCAATCGCAGCCAGCCGTTTCTTTTCCTTCTTCAAGCGTTTCTTCTCCTGTTTCTCGAGCTTTCTAGTAATCTCAGCAGCCGCTTCCTCTGCCTGGCCAAAGAAAAGTGCTGAAAGGCTCTGAAGACCTCTGGCCTGATAGAGGTTTCCCTCCTGGCTTCATTGGATCAGGCTCATTAAATCAGTTTTTTTGCCTCCACTCTACAAGGTCAGGCTAAGACAGTTCATCACCTCCAACAGGTAGCTATGCAAAGCCCCACCCAGCAAAGCCCAAACTGACCTGTACCATTGCCTCCTTCATGACCTCCAGATTCTTTCGTGGAATCACGCCAGTCTCATAGAAGGATAGCCGCTCCTCCACTTGTTCTCGAAGCTTCTCCCCAAATACACTTGTGGGTACCTCTGGATGTGTGTGTGTGTGGGTAAACAAAGCCTGTCAGCTCCTAAAGGGACAAACTCCTCCTCATCCCCAGTATTTCCTCTACCCTCAGCTTCACTCAGACCCAAAGTATCAACACTCACTAGGTGAACTGCTGTTGACGAAAAATGTTACCATCATTGTAGAAGCTAAGGTATTCAGTTCCCCACTCACTCCCAGCCCCTTCTCACAAATGCCACTCCCTCACCCATACCAGAGAAGCAATCAATTCGCGAGGCAATACTGCATTTGTTTGCCAGGTATCGGGAGATGCGGCCTTTGTTCTTGGCAGCTGCTCGGCCAATGAAGGTGGAGTGGAAAATGAGTCCATATTTTGGGGTGTTACCCCTTGTCTTCAGGGCTCTGGGAGAAGAATATTCAGTGGAGAGTTTACGATCAGAAATTTCAACCCTATTAGCCAAGGCAGGTCTTCCCCTCCCCTTTCCCTCAAACTCCAGAGTGAGTCTTAGGCTGGGGTGAGTCTAAACCACTTCATGCCAACCCACAGCTCCCAAGGCAGAGAGAAGGCATCCAATGTCGCTGACCTGGAAACTTGGTCCCTTTGCCGGGCCCTGGGAATCACTCAGACACCAGGACAGGCCATCACCCCCATAGCAGAGGCCTGTATAGGTCAGGATGCCCTGGTTAGCCATCACTGTGATTCCCCAAACAAGTAGTGGACACCAGAGGTGGCACCTGAGTGCGGGCAGGTGCCCTCACTGGTACCTGAACAGGGCCTTTTCAGCCCCAAGGATCTGCACTGTGGATGCTGGATACTTGGCCAGGTTGGTGAGGCTGCCAGCATGAGCAATGAGACGTGCGCCTACCTGGAGAAGGATTTAAGGAATTAGTCACAGAAGCTGGGTTTGCCAACTGACCAACTGCATAATCCTGCCTTACCTCTTCCCATCAAGTGCATGGGGAAAACATGGTGGGTCAAGAAACACAGCAGTATGGATATATACACCGTAACATTCCTTATCCCCCCATTTTTGTTTCCCATGACTTACCGCTTCCCCAATTAAGGCTGACAGGCTGGGGGCCACTTGGCTCATCTTGGATCGCAGGTAAGTGTGCAGACTCTGGCGGTACTCTGACAAAGACACCACACGACTGGAGAAGCTTTCAATGTTTATCAAGTCAATGGCTGATATGTCCATGCCTGAAAGACACCAAGTAGGAACGTAAGGGCCAGATATTCATAGTCCCATACCTTACTTTGGCTGCCAGGCTCTGTACTGACCCATGGAGGACCGTGAGGCGTCCAGAATAGCCTTAGCCTTGGCCCCATCCATTGTTAGCTCCTCCAGCTCCTCCAACTTTTCTTCATTCAGCTCCTTTCGGTTTCCAATGAACTGAGCGACTCGGCAGTATGTAGCATTGTCATTGATTATCTTCACCAGCTCAGGAAAGTGATACCCATACCACTCCCTGCAAAGAGCCACAATCACTCCCTGGCTGAGCTGCCATGTCTCAAATAAAGCTATAGCCACAGCTACTCTTTGCCCAGAGGAAGTGAAAACTAGTCAGATCCCAAACCTCCTTGACTCAATGTCTCCCCATTCACAATACAGACCAGGCAAAGAGCCTGAGCTGAGGTGTATATGGGGTAAGTTTACTCTGCCTCCTATTTCTGTACAGTCAGTGTAAGAACACAGCCTGTGGTAAGCACCAGGAGGCCCAGCCCCACCCCACATTATTCTGCCCACAGGAGCCAGTCCTCATCTCAGGATCCAAAATGAGCTAGGCCATCCTTCCCCTTACCTGACACGCATGGAGAAGGTATTGATGTCCTTATCCAGCTGGTCCAGGAGGCTAATGGACTGTATAATCATATTGTCCACCCGGTTCACATTAAACTTAACTTTGGCCCGAGAATAGCTGTGTCCCAATCCCAGCTGGGCTTTACAAGCAGACACATCAGTCAGGCCCTTCACCAGGTTGTGGAAGTGCAGACGAACTCCTGGAGGAGGGTAAGACTATGAGCAAGGAAAGGCTCTCAGCTAGCTCCTGCACTCACAGCAACAGCCAAGCAGGACAGCTATCCAGAAGCAACCCTAGGCACCCCAATGTTTCCAGAACCCTCCTCAATTAGGTCAAGAATGGCATAAATGTTAACAGATGGTCTCACCTCGAAGAATCTCAGCTATCACACCTCCAGTCTGGCAGTTGTACCCTAACTCCTCTTGTATAGCAGCACCAATCTTGGGGTCCCCAACCCCCAGGAGTACTTTCTTCTTTTTGGTTGGCAGGTACGTTTCCAAGAACAGGCGGAGATCCTCATGAACAATACCTCAGGGCAAAAAACAGAGTTCCCACTAACAGACTGAAGAATGCTTAAACCACAAAAGAGACCCTGTCACTTCAACTGTTGATTGACAGACCACTGGTCCAGCAGAGCATGCTGGGATGGTGTGCCTATATCCCTCCCCTTTCGGCTTTGCTCAGAGACATAGAGACATCAATGATTGCACTCAGGGGATTGACAGATTCAAGTCATCACTGCAAAGCCTGCATTAACCACGGGAGGAGCAGCACTCAGGTTCAACAGTACAAGTGTGAAATGCATAACTGAAAGCTTAAGACATACCCTGGAGCACCATGAAAATAATTAGTTCCCAACCTGCTTCCTGGGACCAAAAGGTCTAAGACTGCACGCTGGACTATGTGCTTTAAATATAACATTTAGCCTACCATATCCCCCAGATATTGAGCTCTGCTAAGACTACTCTAAATTACATCCTGTACACACCAAATACTACCCAAAACATTTCAGATTTAGAACAAACTAGACGAGGAAAGGCAAATACTATCACAAGCTCCCTAGGAAAAGGAACTAGACAATCGCAGGACCTACATATTGGCATATCTTCCTGAAATACTTGGAGGTAGCTTACTCACCTTCAGACACGGCATTGACATTTTCCAAGGCAACCTGGGACGAGGCAAAGGGAGAAAAGGCCACGAGACGGACGATGTTGTGGAACTTGCCCAGATTGAGCACGCACTCCTCCACCTGGGGGGATGGAGGGAGGGGAGAAAGGGTAAGTGTCTTCCTTCCTTCGCTCTTGCCTGTAGGGCGCAGTAAAGCGGCGGTTCTCAGCCCTGGCGGTTCTCAGCAGACCTGACTGAAGGCCTAAGGGAATGAACCTATCATGGGCCCTAAATCCCGGTTCTGCTTCGGCGGTACAGGGTGGGAGGATTCTAAACGATCCTAAGGCGATTCTAATCACTAAGGAAGACAAGGACCCTCTGCAAAGGAGCTTCCCGGCTCAGCGCATACCCCAACGCGTGCGGTCGGCCACGTGGGAGCGCGCGGTGCATGCTGGGGTCGTGGCGGCC